AAAAAAAAAAGGGAAAGAAATTAAATATTCAATCCTTTAAAAATTACTCCTTAGGGATTTAATTACTAAGCTGCAGCATACAGTTTGATATTAGTTTTTATCTAGTCTAAACTGTCCTTCCATCTTGTGTACCAGGGTAACTACCAACTATCCTTCAAACTACCTCAGTGAACTCCACTCCAGCCACAACTGGTCATTTTTTCCGTCTCTGCTTATATACTATTACTATACCAGTCACTAATGATTTTTCAGTCAATGGCCAAAAGTAGTGCTGTGCAATAAAAATATAATGTTAGCCACATCCACTGCACCATCAGAGCACCTTAAAAATTTTTAGTAGCCACTAAAAAAGTAATTAAGAAGCAGATAAAATTAATATATTTTATTTAACTCAATGAACCCAAAATATTATCATTTGAACATGTAATCAATGTAAAAATCATTAACAAAGTATATTCCTTTTTTCACACCAAGTCTTCAAAATTTGGTGTGTAATTTATACTCATAAAACATCTTACTTCGAACTTGCCGCATTTCAAGTTACCAATAGCCACATGTGGCTAGTGGCTACTGTACTAGACAGTGGAAATCTACAGTTGCAAGACTAGGACTTTGTTACTCAAAGTGTGGTCCACAGGACAGCAACAGTCTGAGAGCTTGTTGGAAAATGTAGAACCTTGACCCATACCTCAGACCTACTGGAATAGAATCTGAATTTAACAAGATCCCCAGGTGATATGTGTGCACATTAAAAACTGAGAAGCACTAAGCTAGATAAAATGAGCTTGAGAGCTGATTCTATCATGTGGTATTATTCCACTAGCATAGGACATTGTATTTAACTGAGATTAGTTTTAACATGAATCATGTTTCTCCAATGAAACTTTTTGCAGTGGTGGACATGCTCTATAGCTGTGCTAACAAAATGGTAGTCATTAGTCATTTGTGGTTATGGAGTAGTTGAAAAGTGTCTCATGCAACTGAGAACCTGCATTTTTATATTTACTTAATTTTAATTAACAACCTTAAATAGTCACATATGGCTAGTGGCTACCATACTGGGCAGTGTAATTGTAGAAGTATCATCTACTATATCACAGTACTATTTCTAGAAGAGTCATGACAAATCTAGATGGTTCTGATCAAGAAATATTTCTCTAATTAGCTGCACTTCACCTTAGAAAATAATCTGCTTTTAGTTTATGAACAGTCATGTTTACCCCTTTACGTTGACTAAGGCTAAATTTGAAATTCACCTGTACGCAACCATAATAAAAATTATAGCATGTGTTGTGTGTTTATTACTCTACATTCACCATCCATTAACAATACTAATATACATACTTGTACAGTCTTTTTTATCCTATGGGAAGGACCGGGATACTCTGGAGAGTACAAATCTGTGAGGAATAACGAGTTGATTAACGTTGACTTTCCCAATCCAGATTCACCTACAAGAAAATGAGAGAAAATATCGGTTAAACCTAGCTTCTTCACCCATTTTAAACATTCAACCAATGCTATATTCAACCTTGCTTTATTTACATGCTGCTTGACAGGACAAGAAATTGAAATTAGAAAATACAAAGATCCTCTGCTAGAATAAGTTCTTTGCCCTCATTTTATTTATCAAATAAGAGGGGGTGGAATCATATTTCCAAGGATTCTTTTCAGTTTTACAACCCTGCAGTCTGTGTTCTTTGAAAGTAATGCATCTATTAATCTCAATTTTCAATTGTAATGTAGTCCCAGGGTCCAAAGCTAGTTATTAAGAAACATCCTAGTTGGATTATTTTGCTGATTCAGCAAAATCTAAAGTACATAAATAGTGTACATCTTAATTAGAGGAACTCTGGTAGTGTAGTGCCTAAGGCACTTGACTGCTAACCAGAAGGCTGGCGGTTCAAACCCACCAGCCACTCCTCAGAAGGAAGATGGGGCAATCTACCTCCGTAGCGATGCGGCCTTGGAAACCCAAGGAGGGGTTGCTATGAGTTGGGGCCGAATCGACGGCACATAGCAACAACAACAACAACATCTGAATTAGGCAATAACTAATAGCCAAAGTAAGAAATCATGCAACTCTGGAAAGTAGAAAACCGCTAATACAAAGAAAATTAATCATACTGCACCCAGTATAACTTTTAATCATATGAAATACTTCCCAGTCTAGTAACATATATACAATCAGCTTAAGTACAACGGTTAATACCTATACTACAGACATAATTTAATCAACCCTTCTCTATTAATATTAATGCACATGCAGGTTCTATTGAATTTTTTTGCTCCTATAAAGAATGCTAAGGAGCTCTGGTGGTGTACTGCCTAAGGCATTTGACTGCTAACCAGAAGGCTATAGGTTCAAACCCACCAGCCACTCCTCAAAAGGAAGAATCTACTTCCGTAGAGATACTGCCTCAGAAACCCAAGGAGGGGTCCCTATGAGTCGGATGCAACTCAAAGGCAGTGAGTTTGGTTTTTTATAAACAACGCTACAATAAACACTGCATGAAGATATTTATGTACCATTACCTTGTATTTATCTTTGTATATGGTTATTTCTGTGTGTCACATAAATTCCTAGGAATGGGATTTTGGATTCAAAGAATATACACATTTTCAACTTTGATAAAAACTACTAAATTACTCTCCCCAAAAGCTTGTATCAACTCATTCTGAAAAAAAAAAAAAAAGTACAAAAGGCATGTATGAAAATCTTATATAATATTTACATAGAATTATGATAATGTGTGAAATCCTTTTGGTATACTAAATTTCAATTATGAAGGGAATAAAAAAAAATACAGATGACTGGAAAGGAAAAATAAAATTATTTTTTAAAGTGATGAATGGGATGGGGGATCTGTTTCAGAAAGAAAAGAGATGGAAAAATTCAGAGAAAGAATATATGCTAACAATGAAGAAGAAATAGGATTTCCAAATGTAGGCCTCTGAAGAGTCTGGCAATATAGCATAGTATATACTATACTATATATACCAACTGCTTCAATTCTGACTCACAGCAATCCTACAGGACAGGGTAGAACTGCCCCATAGGCTTTCCAAAGCTGTAAATCTTTACAGAAACAGATTGCTTCATGTTCCTCCCATGGAATGGCTGGTGGGTTTGAACCACTGACCTTTTTGGTTAGCAGCCATATGCTTTAATCTCTAGACCATCAGAGCTTCTTATACAGTAGTACATATATACTGAGAATTCTCACCAAAAAAACAAAATAAGTAGCTAGGAAAATAAAAATGTGAAAGAAAAAGCTAAGAATAATATGCTCCACTTTACTTCTTCCAGAAAATAAAATGATGTGCTTTTATTTTTAGTGTATGGTAAATGAGTAAGCAGCCAGACTTTTCTTCATTCAATTTACATCTTTCTTAGGGCCGTCTTTTACCTCAGAATAGACAGGTGTGGTCATAATTTTGGTTCAAAAATCCAAGCTCTGCCACTTAATAGTGGCAACCCTTAACACACTTATACAATCTTTTCACTTCAGTTTCCTCATCAGCAAAATGGAGAGAACACTAGCTGTAATTCTTGAACTGTAAGGACTAAAAGAAATAGAAAACAGCCTCTAGTGCAGTCTTTCATATTTTAGGGAGCTATAATGGCATAGCAGTTAAAGCATTCAGCTGGTAACCAAAAGGTTAGTGGTTCAAACCTATCAGCTGCTGCTCCACAAGTGAAAGACGAGGCAACCTGCTTCCAGAAAGATGAGTCAGAATCAACTTGATAGCAGTGGGTTTTAGTACAGTATTTCAGAGAGCAGGTACTTATCCAGAGTCACTGCCTTTGAGTGGATTCCAACTCCCAGCAACCCTATAGACAGAGCAGAACTGCCCCATAGGGTTTCCAAGGCTATAATTCTTTATGGAAGCAGACTGCCTCCTTTTTCTCTCACAGAGCAACTGTGGGTTCGAACTGCCGACCTTCTGGTTAGCAGCCAAATGCATTAACCACTGCACCACCAGAGCTCCTTACAGTAGGTACTTGTTGTTGTTATGTGCTGTCGAGTCGGACCCGACTCATAGTGACCCCTCCTTGGGTTTCCGAGGCGATATCACTACAGAAGTAGGATTGCCCAACCTTCCTTCCGAGGAGTGGCTGGTGGGTTTGAACCGCCAGCCTTCTGGTTAGCAGTCAAGTGCCTTAGCCACTATGCTACCAGAGCTCCCACAGTAGGTACTTAGGTCTTTTTAATTCTGAAAAATTCCTTACCCAATTAGTCCTAATCAAGAAGGTTTTATTTATCCCCTTCCCAGTTACCAAAATATGATGTTGGTAAAACAGACTTTCACAAATTGCTAATCTTTATATGAACACACACATGCTCAAAATTTGAAACTGTTTCATAAATATCAACCAAAAACTAACTTAAACTCTCAGAACTGCTAGAATTTATATTTTAGATTGCTTACCTCCTACTTTGGTGTTTAACGCCATAATTATCTTAGAAAGGAATTTGGTCAATTTCCTCATGTAAGTTTAAAAAGGAGGTGGGTGTAAATATCCAATTTAGGAATTATACTGTCATAACTGATTTAAATACTTCTAATTTCTTTTCTCCTTTGTAGGAAAATAAAGATATAACACCATCTGTATATCTCTGTTACGGACCTGCTTTTGTCTCTTCAATTCAGAGGAATTCAAGCAAGTTATTTTCTAATTGATTGATATAAATGTACCAATGAAAATATTAAATATAGTCTATATCTGACTGGAAAACTTAGGCTTATGATTGTCCTATTTAATGACTAAACTATTTATTTTTGCTTTGTTTTGAGCAATTTTCCTTTTCAGGGAAAAAGGGACAAGGTTGCTCCCATAACTCTAAACAGCATGCACTTCATTTTGTTATTAAAGCACTAAAGCCTTTAATAACAATAACTAACCACACTTTCATTCAAGATTTTTCACCCACTGAATTATTTTCTGTATATTTTAAACTCTTGACATTGACTGCAGGAACAGGAGCAGTCTGTATACTTTGAAGTAAGTGGACCTATTGGCAATTTTTGACGTATCAGAAAATACTTAAATAAATAAAGTTCTATCTATTGCTAAATAACTCACACTGAATTATGGGCCAAAGTTTTCAGATTTAATTTCCATTTAGTATCTCTGAAGGTTGGCTGTAGCAAAAGAAGTAAATTATCTTGCTTAAAATAAAGCTGTACTTGTTATGTCAAGAACTTTTATCCACAGTTACAGGAGATGAAAAATGTCAGAGCATGAGGAAGGAAGTAGCTAACCTACAATTTAAAAGAAAATAATTAAGTCTCATGTTTCACCAGTTTATTTCTGTATTTTATATTGTTGTTGTTGTTGTTAAGTGCCGTCGAGTCGTTTCCGACTCATAGCGACCCCATGCACAGCAGAACGAAACACT